TGTGTGTGTCAAACTACTATATTTTAACCAGATGCATGCTAACTACAAACAGGATGAAAAAAAATAATAAAGAATCTAATTTATATTAACATATCTTCCAAGGATTCTAATAAAAAATAAAATTAATCATATATTATAAAAAATACAATACAGATTTAATTATCCGTAATAACTCCTCCCCACTAAGTGATGTATTACGCAAAACCAACATTATATACCAATTTAAATGTCCCTTGGGAGAATGTATCCCCGACTAAAAAACAAGTATAGATGTTGGGTATACGACAAATACACTAACAAGAAGGTTTACACTCCACATCTACAACAACATACCTGTATAAAATCCTACACCATGAAAACAACAAATCTAGATTACAGATACTAGAAGCAATTTATATTAAAAAATTAAAGCCGGAACTGAACAGAAACAACTAAGAATACTGCAGTAATGTTTCTGAAATGCCTGTAAAGGAACAGTTTTTTTTTGCTTTAATGCGCGCATAACCATGACATTATGACATAGAGGAAAAAAAATCCATAATGGATAATTTTTTTCACGTTCTAATGAACGCTCAGCACATTGTCAACTGTTTTGCATTACGAAATTCGACTTTAATAGGCCACTAGACAGTCTTTTAAGTTATCTATAAGTCAGCAAGACGCAGGAATAGCTACATTGATGTCTTAAACAAGATCCCCACAGATGGTAGCATTGATTACTGCCAGTGGGCAGTTTAACTTACTGGCAGGAAAATGTAGCGACACTTTGCCTTTTTACCAATGCTTCTGAAACAGTATTGAGAAGAAAAAGGGGCCGTAAACATAAGCTTCGTTAGAAATTAATTCTCATTGTACTTCTGAAACATTTCGTTGCTTCATGCATTGGCTAGACACCCATATCTCATATTGACCTCATCAGCCATCAGCAAGTCTGTAGATCTTAAATATTATACTAGACTCAATATTCTATCCAGAATTTTAACATGGCTCATCAAATACATTTTAGTATAAATAGATTGAGAAAGAAATACCCTATTTGTGAGAGAAGCACACTTACCCACTTCTTTGCATTTTTCAACTCCGTCCGAGCAGGTAACTTCAAAGCATTTTCCGTTGTAAGATTCAGTCCATGAGTCTGTATTGTCGCATGTGTTTTCTGAGGAACTCTGGCAAACTGTAATGAAAATTAATAATCAATATTTATAAAAAGCAATAGGTATTTATATGTATGAAGTGGTACTATCAGCCTAACAGGAAGGAATCCTGAAAACAAATTCTGATGTTTGGTCAGATTTTGGAATTTGGTCTGGCTGAGAATTTTTTCACACACACACATAAACATACATATATATATATATATATATATATATATATATATATATATATATATAACAAAATAGTTACGTAAATATACACTAAAGACAATCCTTGAAAACGGATGGAATAACATTCGAAAGTAGTTGGAAAAAATAATATAAAATAAATATTGGCAAAATTTACTGATAACTTAAAGCAACTAATTCGGAAATTTGAAAAACTTGTCGATATCATTTAAACCAAACATGTCTCATATATATATATATATATATATATATATATATATATATATATATATATATATAAAAAAGAAAGAAATTATGATTTTTGCTGTGTCTTTAAAACCCAGTAATTTTAAAAGTTACTCCAAAATTCGCTTGAAGATGAAATGGAACTAATGTCTTTAATTTAATTACAAACTTAAATTCGGAGCTTTCAGCTTCCATTTTTGAAACATGGTTAGAAATGTGTAGCGAAAAAAAAACACATTTTAAATCAATTAATTTATAATATATATATATTATATTACAACAAATTCTAAAAAAATTATTTTGTCACCAAAAATTTTCCATACAATTTTTTGTTGATATATAAAATTATACAAAATTACATATCTTTATATCATAAAAATAATCTGCAATTTATAAAAAAATAATCTGCAATATCATTAGTCCTGACCTGGCGTCTCGGTTTCAGTCACTTTCCTACCACTGTAATGTAGCTTGCCTATGCCTTTTTCTATAAATTCTTTCATCCTAATTGTTCTGATGAACTCTCCTCTATGGTACCAGATTCTATGAATTTAAGCGCAGTATCTCATCATTTTACAGTTGAAACATTTAGATGTAATCGTAAGTTCTATGTTAACAATTTCTTTTCTCGCACTTCTCGCTTGTAGAACTCTCTTCCGGCTTCTTGTTTTCCAGTCAAATTTGATCTTAAAAAAAATTAAATGCAATGTTAATCATTGTCTTGTGTCTCCTTAATTTCTCTTCTTTTATTGTTTTCTCTCGTTAATGTTTTTTTTTCTATTCTTACATACTCAGTAACCCCCTATACGTTAGTTGGTTTTATTGTCTTGGTTGGGGTGAAATTATTAAAAAAATAAAAAAAATAAAAAATAATAAAAGGAGAGAAAAAAAGTCAATTAAAGATGACGTCATTTGCAACGGTTAAACAGAAAGTATATAACAATGAGTTATGTAGAAAAAAAATTTGACTGGAGAAACGTTTGCCTGTAGTTCTCCTGCAACGAAACTACAGGGTGCCCCCCCCACAATCGACATCTTTTAAAATGTCAACATCTGAGTAACTACATATCCCAGGCAAACGAAATTAAATAGGGATCAGGTTGAACAATAAAAGTCTTATTTGGCAAAATTCAGTGATATTCAAAGAGATGTAGATTCACAATTCACAGACACTTCTCTTTGTACCAATACCACGAGTCAGCATGATATCACGACGATTTACGATATCATGGTTTAATTTTGTTTTTGTCTGTGAGACAAAACTAATTTTGGTTCAAGATCATATTGATGAAGTAACCAGCATGAAATGATCTCACGATCGATGACTTACAAGATGAAAAAAAGAATAGCCAGAAATGCTGTGTTGATGTTTTTCCTTATTAGTCATTGACTAAAAGTGTCTTCTTTTTTTTCCCAACGATGTTTAGAATAGTACAGGGTGTCCCGCAAAATCGACATAATTTAAAATATGAATATCTGAATAAGTACATGTCCGAGGCAAACGAAATCAAATAGGTTTCATTTTGAACGCTAAAAGATTTCGGATAAGATATTCAAAGTGATGTAGATTTTATAACCGATTTCACAAAGATTCACAGATGTTCAATATGCACACCACCTGTGACACGGCACACGTCAAGTCGGTAGTCCAGCTCCTGCCATACACGCTGTAGCATGTCTTGCGTTACATTCTCCAGCGCCGCAGTGATACTCTTTAGGCTTTTAGGAAGAGGGGGATATAGACATATCCTTTCACATAACCCCATAGAAACAAATCACAAGGTATCAAGTGCAAGTGGTGACCAGCTCAACAGTACATTGTTGTTGTTGTATGTTGGTACGCCCGACCCATCTTCTTGGTAGATTCTCATTGAGATAAA